AGACACACACTCTCGCAATCAAACAATAGGTAATTATACAACCAAGAGACTAGACAAACACTCTCACAATGCATCAATAGGTAATTATACTACCAATTGACTAGACTCACAAACTCACAATCCAACTTTTGTAAATGAAGGATTCAAAACAAAATAAAATGTTACCGCACCATATGGTAATTTCGTCCATTTAGAACTTAACGAAAGTAAGTAATGTCAAAAGGATGAAAAATGTATGTCTAAGGTGGTCCGAATTTGATGCAACAATTTTCGGGTACAACATATATTTTTTACTTAATCTTTTATTGCCTGTAAACAATGCCGGAATGAATTCCAACCACAATGGTACAGCCAACCTCAGCCAGTGTTTTGTATATATACAAAGTCTTCACAAATTAATTCAGTATACATACAAAGTCATACCAAATTAATTCAGTATACATACAAAGTCATATCAACATTAATTCAGTATATATACAAAATCATACCAACATTAATTCAGTATATATACAAAGTCTTAGAAACATTATATCAGTATATATATACAAAGTCATACCAACATTAATTCCGTATATATACAAAGTCATACCAACATTAATTCCGTATATATATAAAGTCATCTCAAATTAATAAATTATATATACAAAGTCATACCAGCTTTAATTCAGTATATAGACAAAGTCAGATCAACATTAATTCAGTATACATACAAAGTCATGCCAAATTAATTCAGTATACATACAAAGTCATACCAAATTAATTCAGTATACATACAAAGTCATATCAACATTAATTCAGTATATATACAAAATCATACCAACATTAATTCAGTATATATACAAAGTCATACCAGCATTAATTCAGTATATAGACAAAGTCATATCAACATTAATTCAGTATATATAAAAATTCATTCCAAATTAATTCAGTATATATAAAAAATCATACCAACATTAATTCAGTTTACATACAAAGTCATACAAACATTAATTCAGTATATATACAAAGTCATACCAACATTAATTCAGTTTATATACAAAGTCATACCAACATTAATTCAGTTTATATACAAAGTCATACCAACATTAATTC